AAAATGCAGGTATCTTCGGTTAGGGAACATGGGGCAGCAAGCGTTTTTGCTTAGTTTCCTCCCAATTGACCAGGGTTGTACAGTAATCTGAAGGAAACTGACTCCACTCGAAGATTATAACATTTTGCGAATGTGTTAGGTGTCACCCAGCCTGCAGCTATACAGATATGTATCTGTGAGAGAGGCGCCACGTGCTAAGAGGAGGCAACACTTCTTGTCGAGTGTGCTCACACCCTTAGGGGATACGGCTCACCCTGGCACTGAAATGCAAGTATGCTTACTGGGGAAAACATGTATTAGGGAAATCTGCTCTTTTTGTCCCAGCAAATCATCTAGCAATGAGAGAAAACCCAGCTTGACTGCAGTTGATTGTGTTGTCTTCCAGGCAGAAATTAGATATACTTTTCTGAAACTTTTTAGTCACTGTGAGGCTGTCTGAAGCAAAAAGTCTAAATGCAAGCTACTATGTGTGCTGGTTTTATACTCTACTAATGACTAATCACTATCACCTGTGGAGCTGTGCTCCCCCAACTCATAGGCATTCATTCGCCTGTTTTTTTTACTCGTTGAGTGATTCGTCTTCTAGCGTGCTCCAATTGTGTCTCTTCTAGACACAAATTCGAAGTTCCTGACATGAAAGAGAACTCTGCATTTGAATGTTGCTTTAACACGATATCCAAAGAAAAATGAAATCAGCACTCAGAAAGATCTCTCCACTGATGTTTATGATAGTCATGTACCATGCATGGAGAAGCAGACATAAGGTTTTGAATCAGTTATCACCTGCATCTACCTGAACAGCACATGACTTTACATGATGCATCATATATTTGCTATATATATATATATATATATATATATATATATATATATATGTATATATGTATATATATCTGATAAAGACGCAATCAAGAATGCTTCCAGGATCGTTCATGATCTTTGTGCGACCCTGAAATCCTGTTTACCAAAGTAAGACGGCCTTGTCCTCCAGGAGCAAGAATCTGTCAAGAAAAACATCAGAGCTTTACTAAGTTGATTGAAGAAAGGTAAAAGTAAAAGAATGGCAAAGTAAAAACAACCAGGAAATGGAAAATGGTGCCAGTACATGCACATATAGGCGTGCTTGATGCACATATAGGCGTGCTTGAGTTTTTTTGATCATATACATTGTGTTAAATTATATATATAAAGTATATATATATAAAGTATATAAAATATATATATAAAGCAATACAGAATTAAACTGTATGAAACAAATTACAATGCTATATGCATAATTAATGATAAATCAGTGAGGTTGACATAGCATATTTCATTCACCCTGTGTGTGTTTATTTGTGTTTATGTAAATGAAAATTCTAATTAATTTAAGATTAAATTTAATTGTCTATTTAGAAAACTAATATTTTTATGTACCTTTTTGTCAGCATTTTCTTTTCTTTTTTCATTGTTTGTTTATATAGACTTTAAATAGATGGTCAAAAATAAAGAGAAATTATAAAAGTAAAAGTCTTAATTTCTATTTCAAAGGTTTCTATGAGCATTTGTGAAGGATGGCAAAATATTTATATTTAGTTAAATTAATGTATATTACGAATGTGATTTTTGATTATTTTTAATAATACAACATCAAACTCTCTTACCTAAAAAATACTTGATGGTAAATGTGTAATCTGACCCCAAAGGTATTTACGACAGGAAAGGAAAGCCTGCATGCAAAGACTTGGTTAAACTCCTGTACAACTTGCTTTAGACTTGTGCTTCTGACGTAAATCTTTATTCTCTGTTTGTGTGACATCAGGTGCTTTGCAACAAGTCTCTTCCTCATATAATAATATTATGGTTTCAATCATCCTGCAATCAATGTTTTAACACTACCACAGCTGAACAAGACTAGATAGTTCATGTTTGATGTCCCTGGAAGCTAATGAGATGTACAGAACAATTAATAAAATTTTTATTAATACATATGCAACATATTATCATTTTAAGAAACTTTTGCAAAAACATTTACCCAGAATGCATATGCAAATCACCAAGCTTCTCAACAGTGGACTATAGGGTGTGCCTCAGAGGAGTTAGCTTTCCCATTGGTCAGCTTAGCACTTGAGAACAAGTGTAAACCCCCTAAAAAAGCGGGTGACTAAGGGGGAAAGTCTTCCCCCACATAACATGGTTCATATAGCTATGACACAACACCGACCATTATGTATGTGTGTGTATTAAAAACAAACAAACCAAAAAACATTTCAATTGCTGAAGTAATAATTTGCATAGCAGTTATATTGATAGCTTCTGTTTTTCTTTGTTGCATCAAGTCCTGCTTTTTTAGTTACAAGTTTACTTTATTTAGCTTAATAGCCACAAGAATGACCAAAGTAATTTACATATTTTAAACAGCATATATCAATCATCAGTTGTGAGTTCATACACACCTGATCACCATTTCCCAATCAGCATCATCCTGGATAAAGCACAACATTCCCACTTACCCACTCTTAAAAGCTACGTTTTTTTTTTTGCTGTTTTTGTTTTGGCGAGTCCACCAGAGGTTGCTGTATATACTTTTACAGATCTCAAATTTCTCTTGCAAGTGCCATTCGTGCCTGCTCGACGACACCGTCGACCAATCCCCTCACCCTCTTCCTTCCCTAAACCCAACTAATAGTGTTTTCAAAAGCATCGATTGACCTGCCTACCCACTTCCCTAAACCAAACCTGTGTTTTGAAAAGCAATCCAGAAAAACAAAAGCCCTCGCCTGATTTTTACCACGTTTTCAGATTTTACCACATTCTCACCCTGTTATTTACTTGTTTATTTTATTTGTTGGCTTATGTTTTTGTTTCATCTCTTTTCTGGAAGCGTTCTTCACCGAACCTCATCATTGTGGTCAACTCCGCTCTGCATCTCGAGTCCGCCGACGTATGTGTCGAGCTACTGGACAAACTAGTAGCAGCGGAAAAGCCGTCCATAGGCAGGTAATCGGTCAATGGGTAAGCGAGAAAAGGAACGGCATCATACCGCCCCGTAGTGTAACGGAGGCCAGCTAGTGAGTGCTGTGCAGGTAAACCTCACTCCTCTGACCTCTAAAGGTGCTCTAGCGACAAACACTAGAGGCCATGGTCTTTAGCCTCCTTGGTAGAGCACCCGACTCCCATGCGGAAGGTCGCCGGATCAATACCAGCTCGGAGCGGGTTGGGTGGCGTAGGACCGGTGGGGTTGCAGTAGCATTTGTTTTAAAGACGAAATGCAGCCATACACAGGGTTCAACGCTAAGGATTTTTTCTACTGGCCTGATCGGACCAGTGGTTCAGATTTTTACTTGCCCTGCCAATATTTTCACTGGCCCTACCAAAAAAAAAAAAGTTAATAGCTATTTCTTAGCCACAGATTAAAAAAAAGTGTCAAAATGTTTGTAAATCTAGAATTTAATTATAAGAAAAAATGTTAATGTATAATGAGCAAAATTCAAAGTTTTATGCAAACAAAATTAGCAAAATGTGCAGGTTTTTTATTGCAAAACAAAAGATGGCTGACCTGCCAAACTGACAAGTCAAACATCACTTCATTTTTTTTGATCGTGGTATACTCTAGTAAATGTCTGCTTTTAAGACAGTTGAAACAAATGTTTTCCTTTAGCATCATCACTTGATGTTGCCACCATGTTGCTGTCTCTTCGCTGTACTGGTTGTTACGAAAAAAAATAACATGCTCACAACATCCAATCAGATAAGAGGAACCGAGAAGGTAGCATTTGAAGGCTTAACAACACAAACGGTTTCTCGATTCTGACTGTACGCAATTGACAAATAGTTACAGACAACTTTAGTGACAGCGCATCAGTGGCCCAATCGGGCCAGTAACAATCCTGTCTACTGTCCCGAGCATCTCACACGCTGGCCCCGGGCCATCGGGCATTCCTTATTGTTGAGCCATGCATACATAGCTCTGGCTACATATTGTAAATCGTGATCTTCAGAAACTTATATAAGGCTCTGTTTTCAGGATGAGCCTCTGTTGAGATTATGGGTGCTTTCACACCTGTGAATCGATTCAGTTGTTCCGAAACAGAGATTAACATTGTTACATTGTTGCTCTTTGCTCTTATAGCGGTTCGCTTTCACATTGCAAAGTTTCTAATTGGACCAAAAGAGCTAAGACAAGTCACGTGCGAGTAAACTCTCCTCACATTGGTCAGAGTGTCAGGGTTTATTTTGCAGCGTCCCGCTCAGCTGTCAGGAGAGGTGGTGGTTTGGTGGTGATTGACAGGGTGCGTGCGCGCGTGACGTGTCTGAGGAGAGACACGGTGGGGAGGGGTGAGAAGGGTGCGCGACGATGCCTATTTGAGGACTGGGAGAGAGACGCGAGATTACCGGGAGATCATCACTCGTTTGCGGGCATCCGGAGACTCGCGAAACTTCCCGCCCTACTCATAATTCTCTCTTCATATAGCCGTATGCCTATTACATATCCATAAAATACTATGATATAACCGCGCTCGGATCGGATCACTTTCTCACTGCAATCGAACCGCTCCAGGGTTCGTTTCAATCGAGCCGAGACCACCTCATTCAAGCGATCTCGGAGCGATTACTTTGGCGCAGAACAGAGCGCGATTGCCCTGTTCACATATGCCAATCGAACCGCGCTAACTGGGCAAACGAGATACGTTCCGAAACAAAAGTGTAGGTGTGAAAGCACCCCATAATGAAGCACCTCAAGAATTTCCATTTTAGTGCATCTATATAAAACACTAGAATATGTTTCAGCTTTTAATTGCATTGATTTCAATATCTGATCATGTTGTTTGCAGTTTGCAGAGATCAGATGAATCATTGAAGTTGTGACTAATCCCAAGTTAACTTGTAGCAATTATGCGATTAGTCACTCACTCTCGTTCGGCTTATATGTAATGCGAAATGAGAGTACTCTGGCATACATTTTACCAGTGAACTCCCTTCAAAATTTTACTGAAAGAATAATAATTATGACTTCAAACTGTACATAAAAAAAAAAAATCTTTATTTAGTCACAATGTATGTTGATCCTAATCTGCAGGATCCTCCAGTGAGATGATAAACAGCCAAGGCTATTTTCCACCACACTTGCTGCATGGTTGTGTTGACCCGATCCCGACCAGGGTAAAGCCGCATGAGCTGCGTTCCCCAGATTCTCTGCTCCTGAAACTGTATCTGCTGATCATCTGGAACCTCCAACTTTTTTGCATCCGATGCCTGTGCTATGGGTGAGCCAGCAAAGACCCCATCACTTGACTGTCCATACTCTCCAATATGGACTAGATACACTCCTCTAGACTGCAGGAAATGTGTGCTTGATGGCTTTAGACACTCTGTTCTCCGTCATATGATAGTGAAAGGCGATTGTTCTGAATAAATAAATAAATGAATAAATAACACAATAAATAAATGAATAAAGAACACAATAAATGAATGAATAAATAACACAACAAATGAATAAATAAATAACACAATAGCATACTTTAAGTGATGGTTCCACTTACCCTCCACTGAGATACCTCCACTTGTTCTTAACCTCTTTGCCTTTTTTTTGTCCGTAAACACAAACATTTTTTGATCAAAGCTGGAAACCTGTAGCCATGTAACTTTCACAGTATTTGTTTCTCCTACTATGAAAGTCAACAGGTTATCAGATGTCTTCAGAATACCTTCATCAGCGTTCGACACGAGAAAGAAACTAATATTTACAGGTTTTGAACCATTTGAGATGAGTAAATCATTTTTGGATGAACTACTCCTTCGACATAGCAAAGTTTCTTTTCATTGAGTAACTTACAAAATTCAGCTATTATCAACAAAAATAAATGTAGTAAATGAAGTTTCACTTACCCATCTAGAAGTTGATATGTCAGAATGTCATATTGTCACAGATGTGGTGTGACGCGACGTTTACATTCACATATCACGCACTAAAAGGCCATTTAAATCAAACATATATAAATCATGGTGTGAAAAGAGAAACATATAAAATGTGCAACATGGGGTGGGGGGTAAAATCTAGAAGGGATACAGCTGCGGACATATCAATACAGCATCTTTTTTGAGACAATGCATAACAATAATGAATATTTTTACATTACAGTGAGGGTTAGGTTTAGGGTAGGGGTTGACGTTAATAAAATACAATTTAATGAGTAATTTTAAAAATATTCTGAATAACTCTGTAAAGTTACAGTTTTTACATTACAGTGAGGATTGTGTTTAGGGTTGGGGTGGATGTTAATACAATACAATGAATGTGTAATTTAATACATAATATAAATAATTCTGGGTAACTTCCGGCAGCAGCTTTACCCATTCTAGCAATAAGCAGGGCAGAGGTTTGCGAGGACTGGGGTTGAGAAATACTCCATAATAGTACTTGGTGAGTAGATTAAAATTAAATGAAAATAAATTGAAAGTCTCCACTCTTATTACTTGATCTATTGTAGGTCTGGTGGCCAGTCGTGTCCTAAAAAACCTTTTTTTAATGTTTTTTAAGGCTGATTTATACTTTCGCATGATGCCCCGTCGTGAACCTACACTGAGTGCGCTCGCATCTCGCAAAACGGACAAGACTTTTATACTTGACCCCTTCGCCATTGAGATATATTTTTTTAAAACAACAGGGAGTGGTTAAATGAAACCTACTGTAAAATCATTCGGAGAAACCAGTATTGCCAACTTAGCGACTTTGTCGCTATATTTAGCGACTGTTCAGTCCACCTTAGCGACAATTTTCAAAAAAGCCACTAGTGAAAAATTCAGAGTCTTTTTTGTGTGTTACTGGAGATTTTTATAGACTCTCATGTGCCCATCCTGTACCGTCCCTACTCTTGATGAGCTGCGGGTGATGCTGTCACCCCCTCCCCAGCCTCAGAGCACTGACAGGTGGCCCAGTCCTCGTTTCTCCCACCTGCAGCCTGACAGCAGATCACTCCTCTGCGTACCGACGACAAATTATTTAGCACCGGGAGTGTGAGGTATTTCCATTTTACAGTCAAACCGATCAGCTTCTCCTTTTTTTTTAACAATTCAATTTGACTGTTTGTTTTTTTCTTGATCACAATCACAGATACTTTAGTGACAGTTTCAGAACGCAGTTTATTAGATCTGAGAGATTACTGCAAATTCACTACACATCTAAACTGATATCCTGTATTCAAACAGCAATGTTTTTGTTAAATTGACATGCATTTATAAAGCGCAGTGCAAATATAAATACCCCTTTTATTAATCACAGGCTGTTAAACAAATAGAAACGGTAAAACGTGATAACATCAGAAATATGCAAATTGACATCATATCATTACTACCATTCAAGATTTTTTTTATTAATTATTTTTATTAATTCTTTTATTGATTATAAGGCCTTTTATAACCATTTAAGATTTTTGTAAATCCAACTTTGATGCATCACTTGGCTTTGTTCATATCTCAAACAGTTCTACCTATTAAAGTGTATTAAAATATTAACCCCATGCGTGTACATGTATTATCACCGCCATGCGTGTACGACTTTCCCTTTTGGCGCTTTGCTTTCATGGCCATCACCTAGCAACAGCCGTACACACAACAGCAGCTTGATAAGCATACCGGGTTTCAAAAGGAAAAAAGATGGTGTGAACACAAACCAACCAAAAAGGTGGCAAAGGGAGACATTCGAATGTGGGTACGGTCCAGGCAATTGAACAAAGTGTCAAAGCACCCTAAATGTACAGCACCTAAGCACCTGGGTCTTTGCTTTTTTGGCTTTAACAAACTTATCCCTCAAGTTTTCCTAAACTTTTTTACAAACACTTGTAATTTCTAGCCAAGAATTATTGGCCATCTGGTTAACCCTATAAACACGCATGGAGGGGTCATACAGATGTCTGTACAGGCTTAACAAAATCTCTTCAAAGTGATTCAGATTCAACTCAAATGAAATGCAGCACTACGCAAACTGTTCACTCAGGTTTTAAAAAAATGTTATGCACTCCACCAGCCGAAAGCAAGTCGCGTGCACCCAAAGCGAACCTCCGCAAATACCACTATGACGTCTTATTCGCCGAGCATACTGAAGCGAACTAACAAGTATAAATCAGCCTTTAGGAATTTTCTGTCAAGTTGCTCCAAATTCAGCTGTATCTACAGGGTTTGCATTTTGAAATGAGATCCTTCAGATACCCCATGAATCAGGCTGATGTATCCCAAAAAGAGATGCATTCTCATATTCTGCTCTACTATGTCTCTAGACTGCCTTCATTTCCTTCTCTAAGTCATCCAGGAACTTCTTAGAAAATGAATCCAAAATGTGGAACTGTTCCCCTACCTGCACCTTGGGTGTCTTCATTCCTTCAGACTTGCTGAAGCCATTCGTGCTGCAAGATCTGCTCTAATGTTGCTCTCCCGCCGTCATCTTTTTTATGGCACTGAGTTATCAGATCTTGAAACTCTGTGAAAGATTTCAAAAAGAAAAGTCGATTAGGATCTTTATAAACTATACATGTTGTCACAAGAGCTGTTATGTATGTGTTTACTGGTGTTATTGTCATTGTGTGCTGTTGTCTCACCTTTGGAATATCCTGGAATCAACTGATCATCTTTTCTGGTCAGAAATGACATAAAATGCTGGCCTCCGCTCACCATTTCTATAAGCAGATTTCGCAAGCTGCAAATGGCTTCTTTCATGGCCCATTCATGATCTGAAATTAAAGCAAGACAGTGTTTTTAAGCTTGCATGTATATCAGCGCACTGTTGGGGACCAATCCAACCCCAACTATGACATTTTATAATGCATAATAGACACATTCAACTCACTTATAGAGGTAGGGTTCATAATAAGCTCACTACAGCCAAAGTCAATCAATTTGAGCTGCAGCGTGTCCGTGTTGATCAGGATGTTGTCTGATTTGATGTCTTTGTGGAAGATGCCCTGGTCAGCGCAGTGTTTGGCTGCGAGCACCACTTGGCGAAATAAGCCACGAGCCACAGTTTCTCCTAGTGATCCTCCTTTGCCACTGATGAACGTTTCCAAGGTCTCACATGGTTCTGGATATTCCATAATGAGGATGTACTTCTCTGGCTCCTCAAACCAATCGATCATTTGTACGATGTGGGGGCTTTGGGATTTGCGGAGCAGCAGATTTAATGCCACTTCCGCAACCAAAGGTTTGGCACATCCAGGCTGGAAAATGTCATTTGATAAAAGGTTAGCTTTGACGTTTCATTTTTAAATGTGCTTTAAATATGACCCTGGAGCAAAAAAAAAACAGTCTTGTTGCACAGATATTGACCTTTTTCTGCAATTCGGAAGTGTGTTTGCTTTTGCCATTGTTTTAGAGCTTCCTAAACGATTGCCTATGAGAGAAATGACCAGGAATGATAAACAGTCAAACTACTTGGCAAGGCAAGACAAGGCAAACTTTATTTATAGAGCAAAATTTTACACAACCGTAGTTGATCCAAAGTGCTTTACAATAAAATAAACTAGACAAACAAAAAAATGGTATTAAAAATAATAAGAAATATGTTTAAAAGTAATATTACAATACAAATAATTAAAAATAACATGTATGCGTCACTCAAAGGCAAGACAGTAAAAATAAGTCTTTAAGTTAGATTTAAGAGCATCTAATGAAGGAGATATTCTGATGTTCAGAGGGAGACTGTTCCAGAGCCTTGGGGCCGCAACACAGAATGCTTGATCACCTTTTGATTTGCAGCGAGACCGAGGGACAGACAAAAGAAACTGGTCATGGGATCTTAACGGTCTACAAGCTGTATATCGCCTAATAAGCTCACTGACATAGGCCGGGGCAGAATTGTGCAAAGCTTTATAAGTAAAAAGAAGAATTTTAAAATCAATTCTGTATTTTATAGGTAGCCAGTGCAATGAGGCGAGGACAGGGCTCTACAAACAAGTGTGTTCTTGACTATACATAAAAGGTTGAAGAATGTAAGCAGAAAATAGTTTGCAACATCAACGCGCTGCATTTAACATCTAAACAATATGAATGAGAATCGAGCCAAAAAGAATTTAAAGTCTGCGCCCGCTCGTAAATAAAGAATAAGGTCAAAATTATTGATTTCTTTTATGTCAAAAATTTAATATTATAATATATGTTATTTTCTAAGACATTTTGTGAACTTTCTACTGTAAATATATCAAAATCTAATTTCTGATTAGTAATATCCTTTGATAAGATCTTAATTTGGACACCATTTAAAGGCATTTTTCTCAGTATTGTGATTTTTTTTTTTTAAACCTCAGATTTCAGATTTTCAAACAGTTGTATCTCTGCCAAATATTGCTCTATTCTAACAAACCATACATCAATGGTAAGTGTATTAATGCAGTTTTTAAGATCAGGTATAAATGCCAATTTTAAAAAATGGACACTTATGACTGGTCTTGTGGTCCAGGGTCACAAATGCAAATGCCTGTATTGAGAGAAGTCTTGTCAACTCACCACATAGATAAACTTGTCCCATGTGTTCTTTTTAAGAAATTTGACAGCAACCTGCAGGGAGAAAAACAGTTTTAAAAGTGGTTCTGCAATTATTTATGTTACATTTCACACAAAAAGAACAGATGAAAAGACTAGAAAAAAAACTAAGAGAAACAAATGGAAGTAAGGATAGTTTACCTTCTGGCCATCAAATCTGCGTGTCGCCAACTTCACAGTGCCATAGGCTCCACTTCCCAGAATCTTTCCCACATCATAAAAGGAGTAAAATGATCCTGATGAAACAAGAAAAAACACATTAATTGGTACTTTCAATGATAATCTTGAGAAGTGATACCAGGGAAGCAGGATAATGTACATCATGTTGAAAACTGAACAAGGAATTAAACAAGAAGCAAAAATATCAATTATGTCATTTAAGAAATGTTACGTAAAGAAACTACTGTAGGGCTAGGAGATCTAATTTCACAATATAAGTCACCTCATATCCTGATAATGATAAATATCACGATATATTACATTTTCTAGAAATTCAACAAATTAATAGTTTATATATATTGTTTATATATATCGTCCACATGGAAAGCACTATTTATTTTGTACAATTTAAGATATATACTCAGAAATTTCTAATTCATATGTGATTATATTTTTCACTTTATTTCGATCTTTATTTTGAGCAAATGTTCAATTAAAAAAATAGAAATATTAAATAAATGTTTATAAATCATACAACCATTTTCAAAAAACTAATGATTACAGGTATATTACATAGTTTTCTTTTAAATATCGCTGAATAAAAAGCAAAATGCAAACATTGTACATTCAAGATTTTATGCTTCTGTCTGCATCCTCGTGTTGGAGTGCACTAAATTATGAAAAAAGTTTTAAACAAGGTATTTTGTGACACCATATTTATAATTATATATCGATACCATCATCATCTTGCACAGCCCTACTATACTGGAAGTTGTCAAAGTAGACCAATAATTAGAAATCACTCACCTTTACCCGGCCAAGAATAAATTGGACCAGGCGTCAGCTTACTGGATGGACCCGACGCAGATGATGGCTCCAGATCAGACTTTATTTCGTGACTGGATGATCCTAATTCAGATACCTTCTCCAAAACAAAATCGGATGGGCATGGATCTGGAGGTGAACTGAATGGATCAGCACAAATATCAACTGGATCCTGGTAGACCACGGGCTCAGGGCTGGCTGAAAATGGGTCTGTCTTTGGCTTAGGGCTGGCTGGACATGGGTCTGTCTTTGGCTCAGGGTTGGCTGGACATGGGTCTGTCTTTGGCTCAGGGCTGGCTGGACATGGGTCTGTCTTTGGCTCAGGGCTGGCTGGACATGAGTCTGTCTTTGGCTCAGGGCTGGCTGGACATGGGTCTGTCTTTGGGTCAGGGCTGGCTGGACATGGGTCTGTCTTTGGCTCAGGGCTGGCTGGACATGAGTCTGTCTTTGGCTCAGGGCTGGCTGGACATGGGTCTGTCTTTGGGTCAGGGCTGGCTGGACATGGGTCTGTCTTTGGCTCAGGGCTGGCTGGACATGGGTCTGTCTTTGGCTCAGGGCTGGCTGGACATGGGTCTGTTTTTGGCTCAGGGCTGGCTGGATAAGGTTTAAGTGTCACCTCAAAACCAGATGGAGCTGGTTCAGTTAATGCCCAAAAGTTTCCACTTAAATGTGGACGGAGATCTTCCTTCTTTTTCTTCCTCCTTTTTCTTTGTGTTTCTGTCAAAACAAATTGAAATTAGCACTAGAATATACTGAGACTAGACATAATAAAGAAACCTAAACACTGAGTAAATACATAAAGGTGAAACAACTGCCAGGAAAATACACTGAAGTTTAACTGTCTCCGTAATATTCATTCATTACTTAATATCCAAATCTGTTTGAAATAATGCTTTAGCTCTGAATTTGAAAACAATTTATGCCACGTTTGAGCAGAATAAAAGGCAAATCAAAAAATAATTCACACATGAATGTTCCTTTTCTTTTTTTTTGTGACCTTGACATTATTTGCTATAGACCCCTTCATTCAACTTATCACTATTTATATTTATATATTACATTAATGAAACGTAGTAATACTAATAAAACTAAACACAGGAAATTAATTCCAATATGAAGAACATTAATAAAACAGACTAGTCAGATATAAAACAGCAGATTAGGGGAAAAGTCAAGTAATACAACTAGACAGTACATAATAATATTGACAGTAGACTCACCGACAGCTGGCAGGAGATCTTCCAAATTCTGTGGAGACACTGGGACGCCAACTGGATCTCGGCCCACTTTATTGCCCCGTCGCCAGAGGAGGACACGATCCTTAAAAGACTTCCATGTCCGGTTGAAGAATGCACAGATGGACTTTCCCGTCTCTATTTTTGTTTGCGTTTCGAAAGAAAGAAAAACATAAATCATAGATCAAATACAGAGAACAGATATCATGAAGAAGGAATGTAAAGCTGGTAAAGTTGTCTAACTAATGCAAGATCCATCATTAAAGAGAAAGTTCATCCAAATAAAGAAAAGTTTGTCATCATTTTCACACTCTTTACTTGTTCCAAGTTTGATTTTCTTTCTCCTGATGAACACAAAAGATATTTTGTAAAAGCAGTGAAACCTGTACTCACCTGTATACTGACAGTATAAAATAAATAAATAAATAAAATTTACCATTATTTGGCCCACAGCCAGATGGACCTGATACGGATGTGACCTCAGATGGAGCCGAGATAGATGGGATCTCAGAATCAGGTGTCAGCTTGAAACTAGACAGACTTGACACAGGTTTTACCCATGTAAGACAATCTAGTTTTGGCATCGGTGTTAACTCGGATAACAGACTGGATAGATCTTGGTCCTCTAAATCGATCTCGAGTAGACTTGGAACAAGTGATGGCTCCAGATCACTGTCAGATGTCAACTCAACTGTTGATGAACCTAATATAGAAGGTGGCTCAGGATCATCCAGATTGGCACTAATTGGCAGCTCAATACCTGATGGGCACGGATCGATTGATAATGCCCATTGGAGGCCAGATAATTCTGGCTGGGGTTCATTGGGATCGCTGCATGGAAATGGGATCAACATGTTCTCTCCAGGCCAACAGAGGGTGCAACGCTTGAGCCCCTTCCCTATTCGCCGAAAGAATGCACGGATCCCTTTCTTCCATCTTTTTGTTTGTTGATCTACAAAAAAGAAGCAAAGAAAATAAAAAAATAAAAATATTAAATAAGCATATAAACCATTTTGAAGGACGTAAACATTAACAATGGTCCTAACGTAGTTCCTGTTTTACTTTTTTCATTTCCAAAGCTTCCGAGACTCCAAAAAGGTCCACATATTGATAAATGATGTTATGAGAGCTGTTTTAATGTTGAGGTATGATTGAATTACCTCTTTTTATAGTTATGAAATAGTTTGACAACAAGAAGGAAATGTTCATGGGCCAATGAAATCCCCATGTTGAAATGGTCTATAGGGCTGCAGGATATTGGAAAAATCTGACATTGCACTTTTTCTGCAATATATTTGCGATATGAATACAATTTTACCATATGTCTTGAATAGCTCTATTTAGAAAGAATTGATTCATTAAGATCGATTCGGGATGATTTTGTTGGGGAGGGAATTGTGCAGAAAGTATAATAAATGACAAGAGTGTTTAATAAAGAGCAATAAACCATACTTTTTGGTTTTCTGGGTAGTCAAGCAGTATTTAATAAGGACAAACATTTAATAAGTAAATTAAAATAACACTGCAGAGTCTACATTGTTCAATTAGATAGAATTAATCATTAAATATAAAATTCAAATTGCAAAAATCAGTGTGCCTTTAAATACATTAAACTCTCTTGAAATATTCACACAGTCATAACAGAGCTATTTAATATTTTTCTTATAGTTACTAAAAAGTATAGAGAAATAACAGGTACTCTCTCATTAGTGCTGTATATATATTGTATATAAACAATTAAAACTATATATTAACATTATTTTCTAATACATAAAATATTATTATATAATTTGTACATATACATGTTTGTGTTTCAACTAATAATTATAAACTAATAACATGGCAATAACAGAATAAACTTTTTCAGGAGGAGCTTTGTTGTAACACGGACATTATGATAGTTACAACTTTTATATGATGTAATGAAAACTAAATAAACAGTTAAACATTTAGCCAATCAGTAGCTACAAACTCCATCTCTAATGTCAAAGAACAGCTAACATTAATCTGATAGATGGTTTTGTCTCTCTCATATCTCAATTGACTCTGTCTATTTACCAGTTGGGCTGTTCTCCATAGCTGCTGCTGTAGGAGAAGCCTCCAGTTCTGATGCTCCTGTTGAGCGGGTGGTCTTTCCTGCAGCTGCCCGTGCAGAGTCACTCACCCTCGGCTGAGCTTCTGCGGACATTGGGCTGCTGGTTTGTGACGAAAAGCGTTTACACATGCTGTTATTTGTAATATATAAAGGTGCTTTGAAACCACCTTTATCTAACATACACACTATCTGCTCTCAAACTATGTGTATGGTTGTCGACTGTACGTCCAGATAAATTTCTAGTCGCTGCTCAAGTGATTTTCTTCGCTACTGCTTGGATCTTCACTGAACTGAGCTGTGCGCGCGAACACATTCTATTCTATGACGTGACAGCCAATGGAATGTGGGCGGGGCTGTGCTGTAAATATCTGATCACTGTTTATTTCAGCGTCCCATTAAATGTTTTCAGAGCGGATCAGTTCACAGGAAAACAATATTAACCATATGAAAAGGGCTTGTAAACCAGAGGTATTCCCCTATTCAAACCTCTGTCATATAATTGCAACATTTTTAATACAACTAATATTTTAAAGATTGTGTTTTAAGCATTCAGATTTTACCTCAGCGCTTGTTTGCTTACCTTTTCTAGCATTATATGTATTTTTAATAATTCTGTCCAAAGTACAACTTTACTGGGATTTTATTTTTAAGTCAACCAAAATAAATCAATTAATAAATCATCTATAAAAACAATATTTTACCTTTGATTCAATGTATTTTCTTTAGGCGAAAATAAATGTTTAAATTGATATTAAAACACTTTTTTTTTCCATTTTTAACCATGTCAAAGGCATTTAATAAAGTTGTCTACTTTGTACTAAAGTTAAAAAAAATCTATTTACCATCACCGGCCACTTTATTAGGTACACCTGCCCATTTTGATCTCTTGTAACTAGTTTATTTTATTCTTTGATTATAAGGATGTGACGTTTGTGTGTTTGAAATCATACAGATACTTGAAATCACTTTTTAAATTAAAGTTTTGCATCATACTGTCTTAGTGCCAACCTGGGTGTTTTCATAAAAACAAAGAACATTTATGATGCAATACTGTCTGAAAATCTTTATTTTTACTCATATCGGGTCATTTTTGTGGTACACTGTAAAAAATGGCCGTGATTTCAACGGTAAAAAACTGTAAAAATGCTACAGTAAAAATCCGTAACCTGGTTAACGGTATGTTTCCTTAATATATACGGCGAATAACCATAAATTGACTTTCCCAAAATTCCCTGCATGACACAACACTTTTTATACATTTTATTGACATTAATATTGATCTTTTTAGTTAGAGATTTATGTTACATCTAATGTTGATAAACAATGTTTATTTCATGACTTTAATTTTATGTGTGTTACCATACTGGTGTTTATTAGCTGTGTGAATGACACTGAGCACATTCTACATGCTGACATTCTTTTTTGCTTGTGGGAAAAGTTGATTTGTGATGAGCATTGGCTCATTATGTAACTTCCTCATCACCACCTGCATGTGGGTGTGCTAACGTGACTAACTGTAACAAAAGATGTTTAGATGTTGATAATTCAAAATACAGACATATTACTTCTATAAATTAATAAAATACAGTAATGTCCCGTAAAAATTAAAAAATTACTTTTACGGTTTGTACCGTGTTTTTAACGGTAAAGTACTGGCAACCACAGCTGCCGTTTTTTTACCATAAATTTTACGAATTTATTTTTTACAGTGTAATAAATCTTTACATTTATTAATAAAATAAACACAATTTTCTGCAATTAACAACTCCAGCTAAACGCTATTTATTTCTATTAAGGCTAATGTGTGTAATCTTATTTACCATATTGCAATCTGACACAATGACAACAAGTACAGAAATCATAAAAATAAATTTTGACGTTTTTAAAGACTTGGCATAATGTTAACTTAACATTAACGACCACAGTTAGCATAATATTTAGTTGTGTATTTGCTAAATGAGCACTGTGCTACACTGAGCACACTAACCCCACTATTTTTTTTATAATCCGTTTCTATTCTGTTTTAAGTGACTCAATTAATTTGAAATTAAAATGTTAACCTTTTTTAATTCTTTGTTTTTATTGTTGTGATTATTTTTATGATAGTTTTGCATTCTTTATGTAAAACACTTTGAATTGCCATTCTGTATAAAATGTGCAACAGTATAAATAAACGTGCCTGGCAGTGTCATGTATTGGATAAAATGACAGAAAAAATAGACATAGGATAATTTTTCAGTGCAGCTAAACGCCAAGTACAAAAACTTCACACATTAAGCAATTTGGCTTTCAGAATGAGTGCTTATGAAAATACTAATGTCACAATATCAATCACTGGCAAAGGAGAATGTAATGATTGAGGAACAGGCAGGGCAGGGTGAGTCAGATGTACAGTTACAGGTAAGGGTGTTGTGCTATATTGAAGGGATAATGAAAACTCTTTTGGGGTGAACAATTTTTTTAATGTTTTTGGAGTTGTGGCCAGATTTCACAGGCTCACTGATTTACAACATGATCTGTCATTTTGACGTTTTTTAAGTTAGTTATTATGAGTATGGAAAATGTCTTTCTGCATTTATTCTGCTTCAGGAGTCAGTCAGTTGACTGTAAACAACACAACCAACAATGCAATAAATAGTTTTGAAAAAAAATTTGCTGTCATTGAACCTGAGAAAAACTTTTTAAAAAATCATAATGACGTAGTCTCCATGCTATAATAATAATAATGATGAAACCATTTTAACTGTGTGGACATATCTTTAATAGTACAATTCGGCTGTATAATTTGTGTCCCCTTCACAAAAATGCTTGAAAGAAATTTTATAGTTATTGTCCCCCCCTACTGTTAAATCAGATTTACGCCCCTGGTTGGATAGGCTCAATCCAATCAATCGGCTGATCAAGACTTACTTTGTAAGACAATGGTTGAAGGGTCATTTGAGGAATGGGTACTTACTTGAGCATATTACCATTGTATCCTTGATGCATAACTGGAGGACATCCACAGCTCTATGCATCCTCTTGTTGGGCTCCGAGGTGGGTGAGGAGCAGGAGTAATGAAACAAATTCTATACAAATATAGCAATCTCTAAAAACCCCAAAAGACTTAAACCAAATGATGACACAGAGAATGGCTATATGAGTCCTCAAAAAGACGATATATGGCAAATATTCATAATTCTGTAATTAACCCAAACAGAAATACTGCTGAGAAAGCTATCACATTTTGCCATTCAAAAAGGTATTGCTGGAATTGCAGGAACAGTTAAAGATGTGAAAAAACTCCAATCTGGACAAATACTAGTTGAATGTTAAAAAAAATGCAGGCAGAAAACTTAATACATGCAAATATGCTGGCTAATGTACCTATGAAGACTTTCTATCATCCCTCTCTTAACAGTAGTAAAGGTGTAATACGTACGAGAGAACTGCAAGACATGTACGAGGCAGAGATCCAAATGGAATTAATGCAACAGGGTGTAATCAATGTAAATTACAATCAGGAGAGAAGAGCAGATTATCAAACTAGAACCTACATCATGACTTTCAATAAACCACATCCACCAGAAAAGATCCACTTAGGATACCAGAGTGTACCAGTTAACACATTTTCCCCAAATCCATTAAGATGTTTCAACTGTCAAAAATTCGGACATGGATCTGCAGGATGTAAAAATAAACCATTATGTACCAACTGTGGAGAAGAAGGACATGGACCAAGTTGTAATAAAACAGCAAAATGCAGCAACTGTAAAGCAGACCATCCATCTTCTTCAAAAGAGTGCTCTGTATGGACAAAAGAAAGAGAGATTCAAAGAGTTAAATGCACAGAGAAAGTTTAATTTACAAAGCAGAAGCTTATGCAATAAATATGGCTTTAGAACAAATGGAAAGAACACAGTACTGTAACTTTTTAATTTGCACAGATTCCAAATCCTGTCTTCAAGCAGTTGAAGCTTCTAAGAGTGATCACCCCATAATTTTCATTGTAAAGAAAATGACAACATTAGAAAATAAGAAGTTCAACATTATCTTCTGTTGGATTCTTGGCAATATAGGACTACACACTTCAGGCGCTGTTTATGCGGCTGCCGGTTGGGTCTGTGCGTTTCATGATTCGTCTTTTATTCGTTTTTTTAGTTATGTGTTTTTATTAACTCAGCATGCTTCATTTTTCAATTCATGATGGTTTATTTAGTGTGATTGTGCGAAGATGTCAAGTTCACGGCGACTTTCATATCAGCTGTCTGCTCTTCTGACTGCAGCCTTGCTTTTTTTCTTTTGGGACAAATCAACAACGCAATGCTCACATATGAATTTTTTCTGAGCCTTTGCTCAGCTTCTAGGGTTCACACATACAATGTGCGGCATTCCTGTGGAATTAAGGTGGAACACTTCTGATAGTCTATGGAATAATTGTGGAATTCAGCCATTGGCAAGGAGAATTCATGCAAGTAGGAGAAGAGGTAAGCGTGGAGGTGTCAAGCGCAGGTTGAAAGCGTATCACAGACATTCCCCGCTGCCCAATATTATACCATCCAACGTGCGCTCACTTTGACATAAGATGGACGAGTTGCAAGGGAATGTGGCCTTCTAACATGAGTAGAGAAACGCACACTTGTTGGTGTTAACAGGAACCTGGCTGGACGACTCAGTTGCAGATGACTGCTTAAGGCTCAGTGGATATTCTGGACCTCTAGGGTTTGATAGAGGTAAGGAAGCTACAGGAACGCAGCACGGAGGTGGAGTATTCGGTGCTCAAGTCTGCATCAGTGCGTCCTCGATATCAAGATCACATCCGGGAAGTTTCACGCGTCCTCCGTACTTGCGGTCTTGAGTATTGGAACTGAACTTAGGCAGCTGATGATGACGTTGCACGAGAACACGAGGACGCAAGACCGCTGAAGAACGCATATTGAGAAACAGCCAGAGTGTATAGCCAGCAGCTAATCAACAAAATAGAAGTAGTCAGAGTGTATACACGCTCGATAGTGTAAGGCGTGGAGTTTAGCTGCCAGTGGATGAATGTAAATACAGACGATGGACTTGAAAATACAGAGGACTAACTATTTTATTGAGCAAAAACTCCCAAGAACTGGCGAAGAGATCTTCTAGCTTGTCACATTCTGCTCTTTTCACAGACACACACACACACACACATATATTGCCCTCGTCCTGGCGCACACGTCCACACACACACACACACACACACACACACAGACATAACCCTCTTCCAGACGACATCACGCACACACACACACACACATAACCCACCTCCGGACGACAACGCGCACACACACACACACATTACACT